GGGAAGCCTATACCACAGCTCGACTAGAAATCCTTTCTGCTGCAAGATTAACCTCAAAGCATCCATTTTTCCCCCTCTGGGTAATCACTTGACAAATGCATCCACAAAACCTCCACACACATCTATTCCAGTGTACAGGTGCATCAACAGTCTTGAATCACTATTAGGAGAAATATCATCCTTGACAGAAAATAGTGCTGCCTTTTCATTTCCAGATGGCTAAAGTTGAAGGATGCAGATATCCTGGAAAGTCAGATATCAGGCAGAAATATACTGGAAGAGGGTGTGGCTAAAGGCTGGTCTTAGTGCTATTCCAGTCCCGTTGTTTTTGGCAAACTTGGGATTTGCATGAGTTGGAGATAATGGTATTCATTTGAAAGCCGTCCGTTCAAATAACGCTGATCAGCTTGTACTAACAATGATCCCAGTTCCTTGCCTTGTGCTTCTTACATCAAAACACATTTTATTTTTGAATCCACCGAATTTTATGTCAGAGAGGAAATGAACATGAGATGAGTTGGTTAGGAGAATGTGAGATTTTGTGTTTGTGTGTGTGTGTATTTTCTTTTGAGATTTATTGCTTTACTTAGGACATGAATATTTTGTGACATCTGGAATTTTTTTTGCATACCCCCCAAATTTAAGGAAAGACACTACTACTTCAACCATTAGGCAAAACTATACTAAATCATAAATTAGAACATCCACCTGTATTTACCATTGTAAAGGCAAGTTTATTTTTCGGTCTCTCATGCACACACACATAATGACCACATAATAATGATGACAACTCTGTTATATCACATCAATAACTCTTTTGTACACTTTGCATAAATTAGTATACTAATTATCTCAGCATCCTAGGATATAGAATTTGTTCTCACTTTTCTGTTTATAAATTAAGGAAGTGGAGTTTGGAAAAGTTTTGTTACTTGGCCAGAGGCACAAAACTAGAAAAAGTATGAAATTTAATGTTAATCAGTTGTTCTGGTTCAAGACAGTTTGGCTCCGAACTGATCTTCTCAGCCACTTTTCTATTTCATCTTAATATATCTCATTTCAATCTCACACAAAACTGGGAGGTTCACAGAGAAAAATTTTTGTCTTTGCATGTGAAAACACTGCACCCCACAAAGCATGGAAATGGTGGGAGAGTGTCCCTTACTCCTGTGTCAGAGCTGGAATGTGATGAAGTTTTTCTCCTGCTAAGGTGACAGCCACTTACAGTGATCAGTAAAAATAGACATAATCATCATCGGTTTTGCAATAATAAATTCTCAAGGAAAAATCCCCAACTTCCATTTAGCAAGAAATCATCACTAGGATTCTTTACACTGTATGACAGATTCAGAAAATGCTGAATCTGGGCCTCCCTGGTGACCTCAGGGATAAGTCTCTGTGCTGTCACTGGCCTGAGTTTGGTCCCCAGCCAGGGAGCTGACCCGCATGATGCTGCAGACCTCTCCTGTCTCCCTGCTGCTCCCCTCAACAGTGTATTTCAATCTGCCTGTTCTGCTCCCCACTCTGTCTCTGATGGGTCCTCTCTTGCCCTACACCTCTGGCCTGTATCCCAGTTCCTCTGTGCATAAATGAAAATAAATCTGTAAAAAATGAACATAATCCTGAATTTAGGACTTGATTGTAGTTTCCTGTTAAGTGTTACTTCATAACAGAGAAGGGTATTGCTCCTAAAAAAATATCAAGACAACAAAATAAAGCAAAAAATAAGTCTCGTTCAGTCTCTGAACACTGTCCGTTCTTTCAAAAACTCTTTTCTTTTTGATTCCTTGTCTTGACTTTTTTTGAACTAACTTTACAGAAAAGTGTGGCAAAAATAGTTCATGTGTACCCATCACTTAGTTTACAAACTCACTTTCTTATCTTAGATAAACTAATCATGAGCGTCAAAGCTAGAAAATTAAGGTCAATATCCCTTTTTATTGCCATTAGCCAACTGAATTACCACAGTAACCTCAGAATTAGTCTGATCTCCACATCTATGCCTCTCATTAAAACTGAGGGCACTCTCGATCCCCGCCTGCCCCGGAGGAGATCCACATGGCGAGGCAGACCTCTCCTGACCCGCCCGCTGCTCCCCTCAGCAGTGTACTTCATTGATCTGCCTGTTCTTTCCACTCTGCCTCTGGTGAATCCTCTCACTGCCCCTGCACCTCTGGCCTGTACCCCAATTCTGTATGTGTAATTAAATAAATCTTAAAAAAATAAACTGAGGGCACTGAAAGAGAGAACCACTCAGGATAGAAAACTGAGCTGTAAAGAATTTATCTTTTCTGTTTCCTACAAGGTAAAGCCAATACTTTTGACTCAGTATTCAGATACCCCCTCTCTTCTATTCTCACCTGTGTCACCAAATTTAGGCTTAACCTACAACTTTTCTAGAGTTAACACCCCTCTTGAAATTTTTTGGGCACATTTATCTCATTATCCTCCTTGCATCTGGAACTTTTTCATTCATTTCTTCTCCATCCCACACAATATTCAAACAACTACAAATATTGTACTTTACTGTGTTCATTTCACTGGCTAGATAATACGTTATTTGTGAAAGTAAGTTTTTTTTTTTTTAGATTTATTTATTCATACAGAATTGGGGTACAGGCCAGTGATGCGGAGGGTGAGAGGATTCACCAGGGACAGAGTGGGGAGCAGAACAGGCAGATCGACGAAGTACACTGCAGAGGGGAGCAGCGGGTGGGTCAGGAGACGTCTGCCACGCCATGTGGTCTCCTCCGGGGCAGGCGGGAATCGAACTCATGCAGAAGTGGCTTTAGATTCTCAGTGCAGTGCTTTAACCCGCTGCACCACCAGGGAGGGCCTACTTGTGAAAGTAAATTTTAATTTCTTTCTTTTTTTTTTTTTTTTTAATTTGTTCCCTGTATCTGCACAAGTGATGTTCAGTGCGTTAAAAAAGGAAAAAAGAAGAAGAAGAAGAAGGTTTACTTATTCATGCATATAACAATTGGGGTATAGGCCGCAGGTGCAGGGAGTGAGAGGCTTCACCAGAGACAGAGTGGGGAGCAGGATAGGCAGATGGACTGAAATATACTGCTGAGTGGAGCAGCGGGAGGGCCAGGAGAGGTCTGCTGAACTATGTGGGTCACCTTTCTGGCTGGGATCAAACTCCTGCTGCAGTGGCTACTGATAGCTTCATAGAACTGTGCTTTAACCCCTTGTGCCACCAGGAAGGGCATTGCAACATCTGAGTCATCATCCAGAGTAGAATTTCCAACTTTAAAGGATTACCACCACTCAACACATATTATTGTTATGTTTTACTCCATAGTGGTCATATTGCAAAACACTGCAAAAAAGTTCATTACTAAGTTTTTGCAACAGTCCAATCTTATTTTAGCAAACACAGGACTCTGATATGGTGCACAGATCACCCCCACACCCTGTGGGTTTGGAACACTGCCCGCTGAGTGTCTTGCTTATTGACAGCTCAGTGCTGAACTCCTCTGAGGAGCTGCTGACCCAGGCCAGTCTCTGTTCTCAGAGGGTGTCCCACACCTATAACTGGTCTTTATAACACTGGCTATAAAGACCTGGCCTGATTTTCTCAATGAGTATCTCACCGAGTGCTCCTTGGGCCTGGCGTTCACATTTTTGGGTACCCATACGTACTAATCAAAGAGCATTCTCTAGTGGAAACTCAACAATCTTTACCTCAGAGTCTGTTCTTTTAAGAAACACATCTGTGACTTCTATTATTCATTGGTTGCCAACTGATTTCTTCTCTAATGCATTCCTCAGTGGCAGGTATTTGTTTGATTTTATCAGGTGTCCAACATTGAGTGGCTGTAACAGGTATGACCCACATCGAACACTGTGCTTGCTCTCACAACAGAGTTCTCTGGATGCGTTTCAGCAATTCCCAGAATTTCTTACACTGTTTCCTTGACCTCTGCTGGGTTTACTGCTTAGATTTCCCTTCTTGCCCTTCTTTACCTCGTTAAGCTCTACCTCTGTGTATAACATCACTCAAAAGCATCCTCCCACGTCAGAGGTCTGTCTCTGTACACTGGGCTAATTGCGGGATCCATATTGCACTGTTGGTGTGCACCTAAATTTCTACGTGTATTTGTTTGTTATTACTCCCACCATCAAGCTGTATCAGTGCTTGTGGGTCAGGTTGGTGTAGCACACCTAAGTGGGTGAGCTTGATTCTCTAACTCATAAATGATATGTAAACCAATGTTACCTCAATAAAAAAGAAACAAAATGAGGACAGTGATTTAAAAACCTGGAAGCTTCTTGAGTATAGATTTTGTCTCTCTCCACATATATGTGGCTCATATCAGGCAAGCTGTCTGTGTTCAATTGCTGAATGAATGAGTGAGTTTAAAAAAAAATAGAAAATTAATCTGAATAAAAAAATTTTTGATTCTGTTATCCATAAAACCTAATTACCTAAACATGCTGATTAATCGGTGGTCCCAATCTAATTTCATATTCTGAGAAATTCAATTAGGTGAGATAAAATATTCCTTTGATATTTCTACATAGTTTTTTTTTTTTCAGTAGCCAGTTTTTCCAGGTACATTAAGTTATGCTTTTAATAAAACTTAAATGCTACATGTCATATCATATTATTAACCTTATGTTTCACATTCTTTTGATATGTTTCCTTTGCATATTCTGAATCCACATGAATCTGATAGCTATACTTAACATGAAAATTACAAAGGAATCTTAAATAATAGATTCTAAAAGTCCCGTCTTTCTATAGTAGTCTAACCTAGCAGTACTCTTAAAAGAGTTGGATATTGTTGAAACCATGACAGAGTAGTTTATCTCCATATTTTTAAAAAGATTTCTCTTCCTCCTTATTCCCACACATGGGTTTCTATATGATATGCTTGGCAAAATTTAGCCCTTGGCAAAGAATAATGTGTTAATGATATTCTCTCTCTCTCTCTCTCTTTCTCTTTTTCTTTCTCCCTTCCTCTCTTTCTCTCCCCCTCCCCTTTTATTTTTAGGTACGTCTGTCACTAATGTAACAGCTACTGATGCTGATGACCCAGTTTATGGAAACAGTGCAAAGTTGGTTTATAGTATCTTGGAAGGGCAACCTTACTTTTCCATTGATCCTGAAACAGGTTTGTGGCCTAAATTTTGAATTCTATTTACCATGTCGTAGCTTCAGGGAAACACTTTTCTTGGGATTTGGATTATGACATGTTGTAGTTAAATACTTTACTGCCTATATCAATAATATTTCAACCTGTTATTTCTGTGCAATGTGAGGTACATGAAAAGCCAAACAATCATTTTGAGACTGATTAAAACAAATGACCCTTTGTTGAATATCACCTGTTTCACAGATGGCTTGGAATCGTATTCCATCTGGGGGGGGGGGGGGGGGGGAAATGTACTGACATGTCAGGCAGACTTAAATACCAGATTTAAGAATAAATTCAGCTACTTATTGACTGTGTGATGCTTGGCAAACAACATTTATAAATCTCTGTAAGTTTTAATTCCCACATCTAGAAAGTGGGTACAGAACCTACCTCAGTGTTAGGATATAGAATAGATGAAGCAATTAACAAGACACATTCGGTCTATGTATGTGCTAGCAAGTAAGGCCCCTATAATGTATATGGTTACATTTGGTATTAACATCCTCATTTGTAAAATAGGGTACTGATCTCCACCCACTAGCTAATAGTCATTATTAGAATTATGGCGAATATTAAACCCAGCCAATATCCTGAGTCCAGTGGGTGTAGATTTTAGAAATGGTGATTTTAAAACTTAAAAAAAAAATAATTTCTTTAAACACTTCATGAGATCATAATTTTTGCAATGAAGATATATTTTTTTTCTGAATTTGACAACATATTAATAGAAGGAAACCATTTTTCAGAGATTTTATAATCCTCTGAGATTTGTTGGTAACACATTTATTTTATAAAATAAAACCTCTTTCCTATGTATTTTTCTTCTGTATCTGCTGGTTTTATCTGAAAATTTCCAAATAGAAAAGTTTAATACATGGGCACATACACACATGATATCATTTCTTTGATTCATGAGTTTTCAGCATTATCGAGATAAATTTCCATGTCTTACCATTAAGTCAATTATTAATTAAATTAAAAATTTAAAGCCTCTCCTTGCTGTTTTTTAATTCAAAGAGTAAAATCTTCATGCATTTAGAAGTGAGTAAAAGTACATTTATACGTAAATAGGTCATGGCTTAAAATTGAATTTAGATTTGGAAACAGGAAAGAACTCTTTTAAAATACATTAATTAGAGGTATAATTACATATTCTTCCTCAGTGAATTAGGAAGTCTGTCATCAGCTTCATCTCATTTGGGATCTTGATGATGCTAAGGCAGTGATGGGAGGTAGCCAGCTCCAGATTTTGAAGAAGCAGAAAATGCTGGAGATGCCTTAGTACTTGCCAAGGTCATCTTAACAGAGTTGGGGCTTGCACTCAGGTCCTTAAGTTCAAAGTTCCTGACAGAAAGCTTTGAAGTTCACTTCAGGCAATGATTATGTTACAGGGGCATCTATAAAACCAAAATATGTCGATTGCTTTGGTGGAATTATATAGTTTTTTCCTTTCCTCCTTGGCTCTTTGTTGACTTGGATCTTTTTATTCTCGATTCCCAGCGTAATATAGATATTGATTCAGAAAATAGTCATTCAGCATTCATTATGGGTCAGTCACCGAATTAAATTTGCAGAGAAAAAAATCATAAAGGGTTATCTCGGTCTGCAATTATTTCATAATGCATTTAGAAGGCAGCTTTTTTTGCAACATAAATACAAGGAAACAAGGTGATGCCCTTTAAATAATTTATACCTTCATAAAAATCACCATGAGGTATAGAAAATGAAAGGATTTGGGCAATTTTAAATCTCATGGATGTACTGCCATTTGCTTAATTTAATGTTGCCAATGGTATTTAAACCTTGCATTTTCACTAGGTATAATGAGTATATCTTTCAACATGTCCTCATTTCAGCTTTATCCTTCCCCATTTGATAGATAAAAAAAGTTATTTGATTTATATTTTAGAAACTTTATTCTGGTAGTACTGTGAAAAATGTAATGGTAATAAACTTAGAGAATAGAGAGAGTAGTTGCTAAATAAACAGTAGTTGAGGGAAGTTGAGGGTTTGAATGAGAGCTGGCATCATACAGAAGGAAATAGAGGCTAAATTCAATAATCAATAAAGCAGCAGTCTAAGTTCTCCAGTCAAATCATAAATATGTATGGGTACAATGTAAACATTTTTGTGTCAATGCCTACATAATTCCACTTGCGTGTGTTCAAATGAAAGTGGAGTGTTAGTTGTTCCATGGAATCTAAATTTGACTGTATTTCTGAGACTTTTTCTTCCTTTCTAAACATTTTTTGATACTGAAATGAATGAATCTGTGTGCATGTAGTAGAGGAAGTTATAACTGCTTTGCAGAAACAGATTAACATTTTGTATTTGAAATATAGAGGAAACGATACACAAAGACCCACAAGCATTTAGTTTTTTTGATTTTGTAAGCAAATGTGACCCATAGATGAATTAGTTGTATTCTCTAGATAACAGACACTAAGAGTTAAATGAATGAGTGGCTTAGGGATTAATGACTGAGAGATAAAAAAGAAGCATGTTGTCAGTACTATAACTGTAACAATTCCAGAAGCTGTGTGGCTTATAAGAAACAATGCAAAACACAACAAAACAATACAAAACAGATAATTATAAACCAGAGAGCCCCTACAGGGGAGGGGGACAGAGAGGGGTAAGAAAAAGGGAGGATTGTGGTGGGCTATGGTGATGACATTATTGTCATTATAAAAATAGATTTTAAAAAAAGAAACAAATTTATTTCTTACCATTCTGGGGACTGGAAGTCTGAGATCCAGTACCAGCAATGTCAGGTTAGGGTGAGCCCTCTTCTGAGTATAGATCATTCACTGCTATCCTCACTGTGTGGAGTGAATGACTTTGCTCGTTGGTATTTTTTTCCTTTTTAAAATACAGCTGGGGGCCTCCTTGCTGGCCCAGTGGTTAAAGACACAACACTATCAAGTTATTGCCATCTACTGCAACATGAGTTCAATCTCTGGGCAGGGAGCTGACCCACATGGCACAGCAGACGTCTCCTGTCTGCCTGCTGCTCCTCTCAGCAGTGGATTTCAGTGGATCTGTCTGTTCTGCTCCCTACTCTGTCTCTGGTGAATCATTTCAACCCCTTCCCCCCACACTCTAGCCTACACCTCAGTTTTTATATCCATAAATAAATACATCTTTTAAAAATACTGCTATTTATAAGGGCTTTATCTTCATGATTTAATTGTGTCCCAAACCCCTCACTTCCAAATACCACCATATTGGAGATGAGCATTCCACACGATTGTCCTTTGGTGGGGTGTGGTGTATGCTGAAATATTCAGAACATACCAGGCATGAAGGAGCAGGAGGGAACCCTCTAAGCTGTGATGTAGACCTGATCCCCATGCAAGCACAAAGGAGAGGGAGCAGGATGAGGTCATGCTGTTTGGACAGCATCTTTGCCAGACCCACATAGGTCCCTGAGCAAAGATTTCTCTTCAAAGGAGTCTCATGTTCCACAAAAAAAAAAAAAAAAAAAAAAGCTGAGTTTTAATGTGATCCAACATGCCCAGTTATTGGCTCGGATATTCCTGGGAATAGAACGATTTCAGCTTGGATCGTAAAGGCGATTCTGAGGATGATGCTCTATGGCTTCCATAACCCATGCTAAAAAACGAAGAGAAAATTCTCTGCCCTATAAAACTGGTGGATGTGATATATCAACCAGTAATAGATAGGAATTAGTCCATGTGTTCATGCTTGGTGAATTACCCGGGCTCAAACTGATAGGAGTGTTTACAGAATCATCGGGGAAAAAAAAAATTTTGAAAGCTGTGTAAAGTATTACAAATGTCTACTAATTTTCACTCGGGAATTCAAATTCTATTATAGCAAAATCACGAAAATTTTTAAGGATGAGCAGAGATGATATGCTTCTGACAAATTGGTTCTCTAAGTGTTTGGTCTGTCCTTGACTTCAGGAAGTAATGCAGCCTAGTTGAGTCAGAAAATGTAGACTGACTAACCAGTACTCATTAGTAATGATGCAAGGTCACCCCCGCATCCTTTTTTTTTTTTTTTTTTTAAAGAAGCCAAATTGATATTTTGGTATTGTTTTGCATGATGATGTCTATTTCATTTTTCTTTTGTTAAACACTATTATTATTCTTAAAATATATTTGGTTTATAGTAAAAATGACAGGAAGATAGCACATACATACCTTTCCCTCTCCTCACATATGGCCTCTTCCCTTATCAACATTACTCAACAGAATGAAGCACTTTTTTTAATCAAGGACAAAACAACATTGGCACTCAATAACCACCCTAACTTAGCCCAAGTAGGGTTCATTCTTGGTGGTGTGCATTATGTAGATTTAGACACATGGAGATGACATTCATACACCATGGTGTCATAGGGAGTGTTTTCATGGTCATAAAAATGCTCTGTGCTCTGTACTCTGTTAGTGATTTCTTCCCTTCTTCGGACTCTGGCAGCCACTGATATTTTTAGCTCTTTTCATAGTTTTTGCTTTTTCCACAGTGTCATACAATGGCAATCATAGATACGTAGGCTTCTCAGATGACCTTTTACTTAGTACTTTATAGGCATTCCATGCCTTTGCACACCTTGAAACCTCACTTTTTTAAAGTGCTAAATAATATTCCAATGTCTGGATAACCACAACTGATCTGTTCACTTACTGAGGAACATCTTACTTCCTTCAGAGACTTGGGAATTATGAAGGAAGCTGCTATAAACAGTCAATGTACATGTTTTTGCATGGACTTATTTTTCAAATCCTTTCGGTAAATATCAGGGAGCATGATTGTTGAATTGCATGATTAGAATATATTTAGTTTTATAATAGATGACGTCACTATCCTCTAAAGTGGCAGTATCATGTTTCATTCCCTCCAAAACTAAGTGAGAATTCCTATTTTTTCACATTCTTAACAGTATTTGGTAGCATCAGTGTTTTAGATTTTGCTTTCCTTAAAAAATATATAGTGACATCCCATTTTTT